ACAGTGGAAGTGAGATGTTAATCGATCGTCTAAACTGGCTCCGAGTTTTTGACATTTGCTTTCTTCCACATCCACGTGCAATACACGTCTGTGCCCGGGCGGATCACTGCACGATCCCGATACTCTTGATTTCTCGCAGAAAGCTGAAATCACCACCCACGGCCGATCCTCCTCATATAATGGGGTCAAAGTCATGGGCAAGCGGCCTTCAATCTTTGCACGCGCCTTCCCCGGCGAAGCCTTTCACGCTGCTCTTCTCAGCACCTATCCTCAGCTTGCAACAACAAATGCCAAGCCTCCTGCAGAATGTGGAGGGAATTTAGAGCCAACACATTGGTGCACGGGTTTACGACTTGAGTCATCCACCCCACCCTGGTTTGTGCTACCTGCGCTGTTAACCACCCGATGGCAAGAATGCAATCTTATGTTGTTTTTATGACACTTGCCTTTTTGCTTGGTCTTTGACATCGTGTCCTCAACAGCGTTGGGTGGCGGGTGGGGTGGCTGGGTGTGTCCAGTGTGTGAAAGGTCTGAGGGTGCAAAGGCAGCCCCAAGGCCCTCCAAACTCGACTCTGAACGAATAGACATGTATGTGTCGAGCTTTTGCTGGTACAACCGCGGAGGCAATCTCAAGGATTCGCTCGCCAAGTTGGCTGCCCAGCGAACAAGAAGCACTATATAATGTCTGAGAGAAAAATGGTTGCGCAGCGCAGACTTTGTTCACCAAAGAGTGGTGTGGTTTCGATACATGCGTAGTTTAGATGCGTTTAGGCGTTTATCCCAAAAATACACATGCAAGCTGTAACTCCCCTCAAGGCCGTGTAAAAAATGGGACGAAATGAGACACGAAATGAGACACACTACTTTCCATGTATTTCCGAAATCTCTACACCTCTCAGACCTCTCACCTTTTTTCCCTTTGCCACTGCAACATGCCATTCTGAATCCGCTGGGCCTTAACAGCGCCGGTACCTTCCTAGCCAGGGTGGCAAGAGAGCTGGGTAGTGAGACTCGAGTGAAGGAACAAGTGCCTTTAATCAGGGTCTGCTTACCGAAAAGCCTTTTCATGGGTTAACCTGGGAGTAGGGGTGGAGATCGATGTGTTGAACTTTCTCAACCATCAACGCCTGGGAACTCTTCAAGAATCCGGCCTTGCTATTGGCCGAAGTCAGCTGCTCTTGGTGAGCTCCATCAAACAAATTTGGACAGGTAGTGCCAGTACATGTGAACACTGCATTCAAGCTCCAATCCAACTTGTGCTTGTCTCAAACTAGTGAGCCGATTGCTCTTCACCGCATACAATATCTCAGCACAGCCAACAGGCAGTACTGAGCAAATTTGTAGCGTCAACACAAGCGAGATGTAGATGTGCCAAACTACAGTCAATTGCAGGCAGCCAAGGTGAAGAAGTGCAAGAAAACGTCTGGAAAAAACATTGTTGCAGAAGGGGGTACTGACAATGTTGTATGAGTGCCACAAGCAATGAAGGTTTGCTGTTCAGTTCCGGAGGATCAAAGAACCCGTCCCCAGCATGATTATAAATTTAATAGGACTTTTGAACCTGGACATGCAGGCAAATCAAGACGCAATTAGTTTTCCCGCGTGCAATTTGCAGACGGACATGGTGCCAATGAATTTGTTTCTGTATCATGCTTGCAAGTGAGATGCGGCAACTACGCAAGTGCAGGCAGCCAGCTTGAAGAACTCAACAAAAGGATCTGAGAAAAGATCTTGTCGGAAGGAGGTGGTGAAGGACGCTAACTCTCTTTGAGTGCATTCATTTGTTATTTTTCCGCATGAAGATTACGCGTCAAAAGACTTTGCTGTGGGTGGCCTAGTTTCAACCATGTTATATAATTAGTTTTCATTGATTATGCAGACAACCAACACAATTTAAGGTGGAACCAGTTCTCTTAGTGAAATGTCAGACAAGCAAACGCTTTCTCATACGTATGTCTTCCAAGCAAATGATTTGTCTGCAGGCAGCCGACAAAAGCACATCAAAGAAAGTGCCGATGTCAAAGAAACTATTGGAGAAGACAGAGGCCACCTTGGTGCCTTTGCAGCAAGTTGACTCATTGAATTGTGGCCGTCACAGCTCAACCGGTGATTCCACGGCAGCAAAACAGCATTAGCAGGCGGCAAGCAAGACGAAGTCCAAGCGAGGATTCAACAAAATGCCTTTCTCGGAAAAACCTTTGAAAGAGGAAGAGGCCTGCTTGAGCATTTAGTGTTTATAGCATTTTGTGACTGTGCTGACTCCATTGCAACACAGGTTTAAGGATCCTGGATGGACAAGAATTTGATTCTGTGGCTGAACGACACCTGAACCTACGATCGACAGTGTGTTGGTTGCAGGTCGCCAATGCGAAGAAAGCAAAGATTTCAGAGAAGACACACTTGGCGAAGAAGGAGAATGCAAAGAGGTCTCAGGCACTTGTGTTTGAGATTGTTTCAGGACACACATGTGTCGACTTCTTTGGTGCCACAGTCAGGAAAGAACGTGTTTGTTTTCCTCTTCCAGTTTTGGTTGGCTCTAGGCCTGTGGGCCGTGTTGGGTTTATTGACCCAGGCAGAGGGAGAGGTGAAACCTTCGGGTCGCTGCACCAAGCAGAAGCCGTCAACAAGCAGCTGCGAGAAGGGAAGACATGCAGACATATCCAAGGCACGGGAAACAAAGCTCAATGGTATCTCCGTGCAGTTTGAACACGTGTTTTGAACAGTTGCGCTTTGCTCTTTAGAGCAGAATCCAACCGCAGGCACCAACGGGGCAGGCATGTGGAAGAGCAGCGAAAGATCATAGCAGTGATCGTGTGTGCCTTCATTTGAATTGATGTCATCTCTTCTGGGCAAAGGAAGTAACCTTCTTTGAGAATTGGTTAACTCTATTTTTCAAATAAACTGAACGGGCCATCGCAGAGCTGAGCTTGTGGGTACTAGGTGCAATATTTGTGGTGGGCCCAGCTCATGCGCGCCCAAGTTGGAGGCTGAGTCAGGCTGAGCCCGCTTTTTTGGCTAATGTGGTGTGCAGCTACCTTTGAGACGGCTGCAGTACACATGCGAAGCCGAGGTCGTGCGAGAGGTGTACTGCAGACTTGGCCAAAAGGTATTGAACATAGCTCAAGTGAGACTTTTGAAAGTAGTCAAGAGTGGCTTGTGAAGTCCACCTTATTGAGGCGTGGGCTTCGCTTTGTTGTGAACGACCTCGTTTGGTGCAGTGGCTTTGGGCCACGTTGGCCAGCCGAAGTGGCAGCCCTTGGCTTCGATGGCCCACAGGATCGAGCCAATAACACTCAGAACTGTCAACAGAGGCTTTGCATGTTTTCCCTTGATTTGCAAGCACTATTGCACAGCTCGCATAGCCTTGGCAAGTCCAAAGGGATCTTGGTGCCGAACAATCTCCTCGGATCCCAGGATTCTAACCCCTACGCTGTGAAGTTCCTTGGAGAATCCACTGGTGCTTGGGTCAGTGAGGCAGGGTGCAACATGCCGTTTTGGGAAGAAATGCAATGCGGCAGGAAACGAAGGAAGTGCATATCTTTTGGTACAGGAAACGACCAGAAAGAGAGTGAGAAGGGAACATAGACAAGTGAAAGCAGAAAGGCCTAAGGTCCAAAAAGAGAAAGGAAAGAAAGAAGGAAGAAGGATCGACCTCGCAGTAGCCTTGCCATGTTCAGAGGCCCGCATGGAGCCCTGGGCTCACAAGAAGGCACCCTCTGTCGCACCTCGTTGGCAACGGCGAATGAAGGTAGCTTTGGAGGCGGCTGAAAGGCGCCTGTCAAAATGACAGGCACATTTTTTTGTGCGGGGTGAAGTATCTCAAGTCGTCTGGAGTGCGCCTTCAGGGTGAATTCGATGCAAGACCGTGGGGAGTCTCCACACCGATTTCGTCAAGTAATTTGTGTTTCTATTCTTGTAGGATGCGGATACAGAATGTGCAAGAATCACTGTTCGAGCTGTGCAGAGACCTTGTGCTGATGGAGATCCAATGTTCATATTGGCTGCTCGTGCCACTGGGCGTGCACGAGGAGGCATAAATGGCATAGACTTGCCGGCTTTTTGCTTTGATCACAAGTTGTATAGTTCAAAGTGATAAGCCTGAGGAGAGACCAGTGCTTTCTAGCATTCGCAGAAAAGCAGCTCTGCAAACGCATTTGATTTCTTTGTTATATATAAGTTCTAAGTTTTATGCATAAGAGGAGACCAGCAATAGTCTTAATGGACTTTTGGCCAGTGCATCAGTTCTTGGTTGCCACGAGAACGCCTGCATATTCAAGCGTGCATTTTAAGTGCTCTTCATGCGAAACGAACTGCTTGTCGCATGAGCATTTTGCCCATCATCTGGACTTTTGCTCCTACGACTTAGTTGGATTATATAGATATGAGCAGCAACAGCTTTACCTTCTTTTTGCATTCCTGGCCCACTGAAGCTTCAGAATGAACCTTTTTTCCAAGTTCCGCAGTCTTGTTGATGATATTTCAATCGATGTGCTCTATGTTTTTTGCTTCCCTTCGAGGCAGCATGCGGTTGCAAAACGCATGAGGTTTCTGACTGAAAGATTTTCGCACCAAGAGAGCCCTTCCCATCCATCTTGCAGTTAATTATATACACTGTGTTCGGAAAGGCTTCAACAAATTCAGCAACAGCTCTTCAGATCTCTGCGCCATGTCATCACGTGGGAGCAGGAGTGCACACCAAGGTGTGACCAAGATAGACTTGGGTGAGATTCTCAGAAAGATACTTGTGTTTTGCAAAGACAACAAATTTGCTAGCTAGTCGATCCAGTCAGTAGTCATTTACTTGACCTCATCACGGTCATTGTCACGTCATTATCATCCTGATATTTCGCAACACCAGATTCATTTTGGGTGTTCGCCTTGCACCATCATCGTTCGAAATGCACATTTGGCCGGTTTTGCAAAGCCTAATCGTTCGTGCGGTCACCGTGCGGTCACAATATTATCAGTGCTTTCAATGTTCAACCTTTGTTGTTTTGAAGTGTTGGTCAATCGCCTTGATAACATTGCCAGCCTTTTCCGGGCATTTTGTGTTGTTTACAGTGTAGTTGGAGCACGCGCCATAGATGGCCTTGCGTTTTTCTTTGTTTCTTGCTGACTTGAGCGCCTTTTTTAGCTGACTTCAGCCTCTGGGAGCCATCGCTTGTAGTTAGGAGGCCAAAGTCTCAAAGCTCTGAAGACTTGAACGGCTCGAGCGACGAGTGCGTGACTGCAGAGTGCATTCGCTCTCTCTGGAAAAGTGGAGCCACAGCTTGAGCAACAGATCAAAAAGGAAGCAGGTCGGTCGGTGAGCGTCCCCACCAATATGAGTGTTTTATGCAAGCCTCTTTGTTGGGCTGGTACTTGCATGAACAACCAGCCTCCCTGCATACAAAACTAAAGACCATAAGGTTCCCTGTGACTCCAAGGGTTTCACACAGATGCCTCCTGTAAAGGGAGGCAACAGTAGAACTAAGCTTCAAGTTCATGTGCGTGTGTGCATGCAAAGCAGACAAAAGGATGAAGACATGAAAGGAGGACAAGACAGACCGAGTGTGTGTGTGTGGTTGCAATGGAGAGTGACCCTCCTTATTAGCAACCTGGGCGGCCTCAAACCTGGGTTACAAGTGCGCGTGTACACTAAGGGCCGGACCGATGTATGCGCAAGAGAGAAAAGAGTGTGTATAAAGGGAAAGGATGTAAGGGGAACCAATTGGAAGGGCCGGAAAACAACGAACCCAAACCTCATCAATAGAACCTAGGCAGACCTAGCCTAGTTTAGAATGTGCGCGCTGTATGTGCACTTAAGGTCAGGACGGCCCCACCGGGCCTGGAGAAAACTACGACCGCTGTGGGCTAGTCACTAGTCTCGGCATTCAGCCTGCTCAAAAGTCAATCCAGGTCGTCAGTAGCTCTGGCACAAGCCTACTCCATCCGCTGTGGACTGCTCTGTTCCCAAGCAAGGGGAAAAGACAAACGCCGCGGAGGGCACTCGTTGGGCACACTCCGGGCTCCCACGAAGCGGAGACACACTCGGGATATGTCGTACGGAAATGACATGCACGCTACCACGGCAAGAGGTAAGTGAGGTGGTCTGAACATTCTGGGAGCCATCGCTGGTATTTAGGAGGCAAAAGTCTCAAAGCTCTGAAGACTTGAACGTGAACGGCTCGGGCGATGAGTGCGTGACTGCAGAGTGCATTGGCCCTTCAGCTCAAAAAGGAAGCAGGCACGTGGGTGAGCGCCCCCACCGATATCAGTGTTCAATGCAAGCCTCTTCCTTGGGCTGGTGCTTGCATGAACAACCAGCCCCCCTGCAGACAAAACTAAAGACCGTAAGGTTCCCCGAGACTCCACGAGTTTCACGCAGACACACACGCGCACACTTATAGAAATGCGTACTGATTAGATGTTCTCAGAACCCACTGTGGCGGGAACACTTTGAAAACCAAGCGAAACATTCTTACATTGTTTTTGCAATTGTTTAATTGTTTAAAGCATTGTTTATAACATTGTTATATTGTTTCAAACATTGTTTATAATATTGTTGTATTGTTTAAAACATTGTTTATAACATTGTTGTATTGTTTAAAACATTGTTTATAATATTGTTATATTGTTTAAAACATTGTTTACAACATTGTTGTATTGTTTAAAACATTGTTTAAAACATTGTTTATAACATTGTTACATTGTTTAAAAGATTGTTATATTGTTTAAAGCATTGTTTATAACATTGTTATAACATTGTTACATTGTTCAAAACTTTGTTTATAACATTGTTTTCGTTCGACACATTGTTTATAACATTGTATACAACATTGTTAAACTGTTTGAAACATATGATGTATTGAACCTTGAGAAAAAGTTGCTGTAGACTTTTTGTTTGTTCAAACAGTTTGTTCCTTAGTCATAGGCTAGTAAACAGTTTGCTCGCCTCTGAAAACCTCTTCACTTCAACGATTTGAACACTCCATGCTGCCACCAAGCTTTCAAGCCACAACAGCCCAAGCGCGCCGCAACGTTGCCATGACATACTTGTATTGTTGGTTCTGCTTGATGGACATGTTTACACCCTACCTGCAGCCAAGTGATGCAGCACGGACACACCTACTGGCTCGGGATTGCGAATGTGACTTCTTGGGCACTCCCTCGCCAGAGCCTAAGGCCAAGAGGCAAAGGTTGGGCCCAGTGGATTTCACCCCACCCAAAGAGCCAAAGAAGTGATGAATGCTGATCAGCTTGCTGACATTGCTAGGCGATATGGGGGTGGCCACAGGCCTTGTGTGCCCAGACGTGCCCAGAGCGGCCACAGGCCTCGTCCGAGCGGCCACGGGCCTGGTCCGAGCTTCAGGCACAAAAGCCGCGCTGCTTTGCTCCGATTGTTGGCGGCTTCTTTTCGCAGTGTTGCAAGTGCTGCCAGCTTGGAGCTGTGTGACCTGCTTCTTGAAACAGCAGACACTGTCCAGGTTCCAGCTTGGATTCCACTGGTTGGGCTTTATGGTCCTGTGCTGACTTGGAGAGCAGAAAGATTGCGCACAACCAGGCGTTGTCTTCTAACAATTTTGGGCCAGCTTTGGCGGAAGCTTCTTGAGCCTTGGGGCCGCTACCCATGGCCACTGGCCGAGTTGCCAGCTTTGAGCCCGGAACTCCAACAAGAAAAGGCGCGCCAATTCTTTGGTGAGAGGGATTGTTGCTTGGATAATTTCAGCTTGCAGCTGAAAGAGCTCATCCAGAACGAGGAAACCTTACTCGTTAAATGTTTTCAAACCTCCGGTGATGGGGACGCCAAAAAAACAAGCGAAATATTCTTTTGAGGTTGGAAATTGTTTCAACAATTGTTCTGACAATTGTTTTAATTGTTTTCTTTTGTGGAAACAATTTATTGAAAGTTGTTTGCATTTGTGTGTTTTGTTGCTGCTGTGCTACCGCTTCTAGACTCTGGTCCAAGAAGGGTATTAGAACCATGACAGGATGTGTTTTCTTCCATGGCAGAAGAGGTCAGGTATGTTCCCACACTGGACATTCAGGATTTCAATCCAATGTGTTTTCATGACCACCGCTATGCTTTTGCAATGTGCAAGTGCATTTGCTTGGAGACGCCATGGTTTGCAGCTCTATGTGTGTTTGCGCTGATTGGCTGGTGCACTGTGTGCTACTTCTTTTGTGAGCGTTTCAGCCCCCTGCGCTCCCGCATAGAGGCATCATATAGTGATGCCTCTGAGGGGTTCATGTCTGCTGATGACGCAGGCAACTGAACACTCAATTCATGTTGGCGTTGGCCTCAGGCCAGGTTTATTCGGCCTCAGGCCAGGTTCACGGGCACAGAATTTACAAGCTTCAGCCGCAGTTTGCGGCCTGAAAGTCCAGACAGCATGGACGGCGCTCCTTTGCTGCGGGCGCCGCTGTGGCCTGTGTGCCGTCCAGATTCCTGCCCACATTTTTTGACCCCGCAAGCCTTTGCGTATTTCCAGCGGTTGCATGCCTTTTTCCTTGAAGTGATTCTACGAAAGGGTCCCAAACCAACTGCTCTTTCAGAGGAGCCATTGGTGTTAGAGTTTAGGTCGCCAACAGCTCTTCCGTACCATGTGGCCGTTGCTTACTCTACAAGGAAAAAACCTATCCAGGCAGCGCTCTTAGAGTTGAAAGAGCTAGATGATGATTCTGCCCCCCCAGACATCTGCCAAGTGTTGGCTTGCGAGAAGAGCCTTGATGGACATCTAACCCTGAAGAGCGATGTCCAGGTGTGCGTTCACTGCGCCACCAAAGCAGAGGACTGGCGCATTTCAGTGCTTGGCGTTGGCCCTGTCAAGCGACTGAGCCATTTTGACATTTTATGGAAGGAGGCGGTCGAGCGCAAGTCGCTTGAAAGGACAATGGATGAGGAGAAAAAGC